CGTTCATGCTTTTTCTTTTGTTGCAAACCAATACGCGCAATTTTGCTGCTTTGACAGTCATGAAAACCCAAGCAGCCCCCCGCGCGGGAGGCTACCTGTATATAGATGATAGATGGTAGTTTAGCTAGGTGACAGGCAGTCTCGATCTGCCCGTCGTATGTCCCGCACCGGGACCAGGGTTTTTCCGCTTCCGAGGTTCCCAAGGACGCGTGGAAAGGCCCGAACCTCGACGTAAAATAGACACACACACACACACACACACTACTACTACTAGGGGCGCTTCATTCAGGAACATCTTTTCTATTGTCCATTGATGAGACTCGCATACAATATCAATGATATAGAATATTGAATTATTTGTTCTACTCTACTCCATATACCGCTATGCAGGAATCCTGCAAAGTGCCGAAACTGACAATCCCACACTAAATCCTCCAGCAACAGATAAATGTGATATCTGCAGGATCACGGCGCCGTCTCTGGCTAATGCGTCCACTACTCCATTCCAAGTATAACCCGACCTCCACTGCTCGGCGCGTACGCAACGGCACCAGCTTTACCACTCTTTACCAAAGAGGAATGTGTACTCCGGCGCGTACTCCGGCGCGTACTCCGGGCACATACTCCGGACGATAACCAGCATCAGATATGAACTTGCGCAGTCTGAGAGTCGCTAAAGTAGCTGCTATATTGAAATCGGAACAGGATAACCTGTAATACTACAGAGCTGCATCATGTGTTACATGCTCGTGTTTGTGTCCGCTATGGTGGCTGATGCTCGCTGATCAACCCCTCCGGCCTTTTAATATGGACGAATCCAGCAATCAGCATCGTCTGCGCCGTAAGATAGCGCTTGACGCTACTGCGACTCAGCCTTGTGTGATTTTTTTTTTTTTTTTTTTTTTTTCTTCTCGTTTGAGCCGCGTGCTTACTCTTCTTCCCCTCTCTCGTCTCACCTTGTTTGATTTCTTACTGAGGGGTGCACCTCGAGTTTTTCATCCTGATACTCTTTGATACTGTTGATGCCCGAGATGGCCGGATATTAATGACTGGAGCTGGCTTTATTTGATTCTGCTGCCATCTGTGATAGGCTATTCAGAGTAAGCGACACGAGTGTGCCTTGTTCGTTCGAGCGCTAAGAGTTCTTTCAGCGTACTTTTCTTTATTCACGACCAGTCTTATTGACCACGGAACCCGCATCTTATTCACAGAACCCGCATCTTATTCACAGAACCCGCATCTTATTCAAAGAAAACCATACCATATGCCATCATTTGAACGTGAGAATACCTCTCCCCAGGACAACAGCGATATTCATCCGGATTATCGACCCATACTCACGATTTGCAGCTCCCCCAGACGCAGTCGATCCTAGCGGCAATGGCTCGTCCGATTCAGGGAACGGCGAGAATGGAGCCTCTAATAATCTGTGGTCGAACACTGCATCACAAGCACCCTCACCGACCTCATCTAACGTAGCACCATCTCAAAGCACAACCAGCGGTGCTATTAGCAGTCCCAAAGCCAAATCCAATTCCAACAGCCACGGCGACGGTGGCTTGAGAACAAACACCAAAATCGCCATCGCCATCCCCGTTGCCGTTGGCGGCGCAGCTCTCATCGCAGCACTCGTATTCCTAGTCCTCTACATGCGCCGACGCAAGCAACGCAGAGCAGCAGGAGAAGCACATACACCGGTCAATTCACAAGTACACATACCAAAAGGACATGCTCACGGACAAGCAACACCGCGGATGGAAATGGCCACTGCCACAGCTCCTGTCCCAGCTGCACCGAACGATAATAACTGGACAATGCCCTCCCAAACACACAACCTGCAACCACCCTTCGACGGTCCCCTCCCACAACAACACAATTCAACCCCTGTTCTCCCAGAAACGTACCGCTCAAGTGATCCCGGTATGGGAATCGGATTAGCTCTAACACCCGAGCACCCGGTTCCCTCACCATCACCACCGTCAGCGGGTGTAGGCGCGGAGTTCCCGCGCGCAAGGTCACCGTTTAATCATCCCGATGATACGTTATCGGATATTTCGAGGGTTAGTGGACGGCGACGGGGTGTTGATGGTGACGGTGGTGGTGATGCGGATGCGGATGCGGATCGGGCGAGTGTTATTTCTTCTGTTTCGTCGATTGATGAGCATGAGCATGGACATGGACATGGACATGGTAATCGGGGATTTGATGGGCATTAATGCGTTTAGTTTTAGTTTGGTTTTGAGTAATGGATGCGTACGAGAATGAAGTTAATGTTGAATCAAACTTTTATTTTATAATTTACACCTTCACTCATGTCTATATAGTTAACTAACTAGTTAGTTACATGCTTTATTTATCTGCCTCCAAAACCAGGCGTATACGCCTTAACCCTCCCCTTCATCAACTCCCGCAACGCCATAGTAGCATACTGGCTCGTGCCGAGCTGGAACTTGAGCACCACGGCCAACTTTCCTTGTCCGGTTTCCTCGCCCTCTTCCTTGACATCGGCACCAGTCTTCTCAGACTCGGGGTTAGTGGCAGCCTCCAAATCCGTAACAACAAACTGCTCATCATCCTTCTCATACGTCTTCACTTCGAACGAGTAATCCTCGCCCATCCGGCTGAGTATTTTGCGGTAACCCCCGCTGAGACTAACGTCCTTCCATTTGCGGCGCATGTCGAAGGGGTCCAGGTTTCCGCCTTCCTCGCTGCCCATGAAGCGCTTGTAGAAATCCGTCATTGCGTTCGCGGGGTATGAGATGTCGAAGCCGGGGAGTGGGAGAACGACGTCGAAGATGGTATATTGGCCAGATGCGGCTTCGGTAGCGGAGAGGGCGCGCGCACGCGTGAACTGGTCATCTGCGGCGCGGGCGCTGTCGTGTGCTGCTGGGATGATAATGACTTCGCCGTCGGCGTCAACTTCGTTTTTGATCTCGGTCGAGGCGTTGCCTTCCTTATCGCGGTGTTCGTGCACGAGGACGAGGTCTCCCTCGACGACTTTGTCGCCGTATAACCGCCAGCGCTCACCGGCCGCAAAGTTCCAGACTAGACTCTGGTACGCGTGAACGTACATGAGTCTCAGGTTGCGGGGAATCATCTGCAACGCGCCGATGAAGTCGTTCTTCGAACGGCCCAGGTGGCGGATGAGGTTCATTTCCGCGGAGAATTTGCGGGGCAGTATTTCGAGTGCTTCGGCGCTTTTACCTGTGCTCTGGAAGTGGTGAATTGCCTGGGCGCGGGCCTTGTCGTCTGTGCTGATGTTGCCTGCGTCCTGGGATTGGTCTTGCGCTGCGGCGAGGACGTGTGGGGGGTATTGGAGGATTGCTTCGCAGGCGGCTTTGAAGTCGCCCTGGAGCATTTTCACGCCGATGGTGTCGGTGCGGGTGGAGAAAGTTCCGAAGCGTTGCAGGCCGTAGTAGTTGAAGTAGCCGCGTTCGCGGAGGTTGCGCAGGGCGGAGCCGACGAGGTCGTTGGCTTTGGAAATCGCTGTTTCGCGGTCGTTCAGGTCCACGCCGGGGATGTCAGATTCGCGGAGTGTGATCACGAACTCGTTTCCGTTGAGATCGCCTAGTTCCAGACCGTGCTCGCGGTACTCAAAGTCGCCTAGTCTCGCATTGCGGAGGGTCTTGTTCATATGGGCCAGTCGCTCCGCCTTCACTTTATGCGCGCACGCCCGCTGAACAGTCACACCCCGTCGATCTTTCGTCCCAGCAAACTGAAACGACTTGGGATTCGTCTTCAATGTTCGTGCCAAAAACGAGATCACCTCCATAGTATCCTTGTTCTCCTTGTAAATCGTAAAATGCAAATACGGACCACCAAGCTCCTGCCAGTTATTCCTGTTCGCGTCCCGTCCGCCGCGTCCATTCTGTCCACCCTGTCCATTCCGCTTATTGCGGTTCGGCGCGGCAGAGATCCACATCATACCCTCGCCGTCTGTACTGGACTCGAGCTGCGAGTTGAAAACGCGGCGGATGGTCTGGTGCACTTGGATTCGCTGGTCGCGGTCGGTCATGACAGAGGTAGCGATCTTGTCGAATGCGCTGGGACGCGCGTTCGAGGCTTGCGCGCGTTTGTGCAGGGAAACAATCTTGTCCGTAGCATCTTCGCCGAAGTAGGTGGTCAGGGTGGTGCGGTCCTCGTCGGAGAGGTTGAATTCGGGGGCGGGCTCCGGCGCAGTTTCGGTGGGTTTGGGTTCTTCAGCTTTGGGCGCGGTATTCTCGGTCGCAGGCTCAGCAGCTGGTTCGGGCTTGATATCCTTCTTCTCTTTCTTCTGCTCCGGCGTCGCGACGTTCTTCAGATGCAGAACCTGACCGGTAGTCAAGATCTCATTGACCAGGAAGTCGGTATATCTGTCAAACATCTATCAGTTCAACCTCACACACTCCATCCTAGATAACGCGTACCTCTTCTTCAAAATCCCCGAAAAGCCCTCATTCTCCGGACTAACAAACTCCGTAATCCCAACCTCGATCTCCTTCTGCAATTGAGCGTCGTCGGCGGCGGGTTTGACTGCGACGGCGACTTCTTCAGAGGAAGTGTTGTCATTGTCGGTCTTCTGGCGCTTGCGCGGCGACTCCACGATATCGGCTCTTTCCATTGTGAGTGATGTGGTTGGGTAGAAGTTGATGTTGAGAAGTTGGAGCTGGGACTGAGACAGCTGCGGAGAGTTTTCCGGCTGAATGCGGTATAGCGTGGGGTTAGGATATCTTGCCCTATTACCTGATTGGGAGTGCTACAAGGTGATACTACTGATGTAGTTAACGCATTTCAATGCCTGAAACAATGCTGTAAATGCCTATGTACTATGCAAATATATACTAACCAAACATGCGATGCCACCAATTAATCTTCCAAGACCCCCCAAACCGATGATTTATACAAACATTCGGCCCCCGGAATCCCTCCGCATTACTATGCCTCTGTCCATTCCCCCAGGCGCTAACGGGCAGCACACCTAGTCCGCCCATGGCCTTCCCCTCCGCAGCCTCTGATGCATCAATATATACAGGCTCTTTGATGTTATGAAACGGCACCCATGTTACGCGTCTCTGAGTTACGCCGGAAGACGAGAGCAAATCGCCAACTCCCTCGTCCGCTTCGACGGATAGATTGACTAGCGGATGTGTCGGGGGCAGTGTCTCGGAGAGACTGTCGATGACGGCGTCTGTGACGACGCCAGGGCCGCTGATTTCAAGGACCGTTGGCTCGTCGTACCGTGGTGGAATGATTGTCCACCGGTCCATGTGCTGTCTGCTATGTGCGAGCACTCGGACGATGGTCTTTCGGAGGATCGGGCTGAAGCGGCGCGGCGCGTACATAGTGTATTGGATGAATTCGTAGGGCCTGCTCCAGTGCCATTTGCGCATGAATTTGGGCGCAACGTATGGCTCGTCGATTTCAACGCCTAAGATGAACGAGACGTTGGGGTGGTTGTTGGTTTCTTCGGTGAAGAGCGGATTAAGCGGCGGACACTGCTTGATGGGTCGTGCAGGGAAGGCGTCCATGTCTGAGTAGAAGCCGCCATAGTACCACAGTACTAGGTAACGGAGAAGGTCTGCGCGGAGGACGTTGTATGGGTATGCTTGGTATGTGGTTGCGATTTCCGGCGCTTTTGATAGTGTATCAGCGACAAAGGCAGCAGCCCATTCATCTGTCGCAGGCTATACAGTTCAGCAACTGGATCCAATCCAGACGAGACAAAAGACTTACTGTATATTCCCAACCATTATTTTTGTTCTCCAGCATCTTCGAGTCTGACCCTCGATCCTTCACCTCCGGCATGATCTGCCAAATACGATCTTTGGCACTATAATCACCCCCATTCTCCGCGAGCGCAGCGCGCTCAACCTCTTGCAGCATAGCATCTATCCTGGCTTCATATTCGAAATCCGGATCCTTCCGGAACGACGAAGTATGCACGAACTTGGGAAATTCTTCCTCGTACTCGGGCGCGAGTTTATTCGGACTGGTGAAATTATGTGTCCTCTTCTTCGGCAACTCGGGCTCTGGAAAGTAGATAAAAACGATATAGCAAACGGCGATAAAGGCTAGCACGAGGAACCGTCTCCGAAAACGAGGTTTGTATGCGTAGAGGCGGGATTGATGTCGTTTTTCTGCCCACATGGTGGCGTGGCGACTATTTGCGGGATTTGACGGCGAGGGGAGACATAATCAAGAAGCAGGTGGATAGGAGTACTTGTAGAGGGCGTTAGAGGATAGCCAAGATTTCGCGTATTCTTGGAGGGATATATTTCAAGACACGAGGCTGAGGCTAAATGATATTCATTGGGTCTCGGCGGGATCCGTCGGTGTTGATCGGCTCATCGGCTGTGACGATGGCTATGCTTCTTGAGAGTATAATAGAGATGGAATTTGCCTGTTTCATCGGAATTCAAAGACCAGATTGATGTTTTGTATGCCCAGAGGCTGTCCGCGACACTGCATTAGTTATGTGATTCTCAAGCGATGAAAGAGAAACCGGCCATTGCCCCTTTAGGCACAAGGCCAAGAGATCGTCGGCTTGGTTGCTATTTATAGACTAGAGACATGGACTTTACCTGTTTCGGACGAGCCGTGGGGTCTCGTTGCTCTAACGGGAATAAATGTAGGGTAGTTACTTTAAGGGGAATCGAACTAGGGCCAGGCCTTAGGGCTGATTTGCTCTTTTTTGTTGACACCAAGAAATTATGGAGAAAACCTCGAACATCGTCTGGTAAAAAAGAAAAATAATAATAATAATAATAATTCCGGTACGGGGAATCGAACCCCGAGCTGCCGTGTGAAAGACGGCGATGTTTACCATTACACCATGCCGGAAAGGGTAACCTACTAACCATGGGGCCGTTGGGGCCTTTTCCAATGGACTAGCAGGGGCTGTTAGAGCGAAATGAATTTCCTTTAAGTGACCCATCTGTTTGTTTCAGGCAGCAGGCTCACGGTGAATGCCTGAAACTTGAGGCAGAGTACAAAGAAGTCAACAATGTAACTAACTAGTTAGTTAGATGGAGTATCCCCGATGGTGACAATGCCATTGAACCTCTCTCATCCTTTATTGTCTGTTTGGGATTTTGGAGAATGCCTGTGGAGAATACTAGTAACAGTTCTACAATGAAGCATCGCAGTAGCATCTCAAGGTATAAATATGACCATAATTCCAGCTTCATCTCTCATCATCAACCTCTCATCTACTCTACTATCAAACAATTTATCAACCCACCTCTAACAAAACCAAACAAGGTACTGTCCTCCACTAACAAGATGCCAATCGCACTAGCTGACATGGAAATGGACGACACTCCCACCGACGTTCGTCCAAACACCTACATCCCCTACTCCCCCGAATACACAGCCCCCATGAGCTCTCACAACAGCACCCACCAAGCCGCTGCCAACGACTCCAACCGCTACCCACGCTGGAGTGCCGCCGGAAACCGCGCCCTGGGCCGTGTCATCTCAGGCAACAATGACGACGACAGCTTCAGCGACTCAGAGCCCAACTGTGACAATAATAGCAACGGTGACGACAATGGTAATGGCGACATGGAACTCGAGGAAGAGCTTGACCTTCAGTATACGATTTTCGTTGGATTGCCGCTGGACACTCCCCGCGAACATATCTGGATGGTCCTCAATAGGGCTCGTAATACTGTTCTAGATAAACTCACCAACTGCCAGTTTGACTCTACGGCGCTCAATGTCCGGGACGACTCGTGGGTGCTTAGGTGCGACGCTAAGTTTAAGGCCGATACTATTGCCATGGCTGGTGAAGGTAATGATATGGAATATGTACTGACTTCTCTCGAGCAGTGGCTTTATACGCTCTTGGATATGCAGGTTCAGGGCGCGGATATTAGTGTCCCGTGGATGGCTGGGCCCTGGTCCATGAGCTGGTTGCTCTTTGTGTTGTGAGTGTGTGTTTGCTTCGTGGGCCTGGGCCTTCCTCTGATGCACAGGCAGTTTACATGATTTTATCCAGGTGCGTGCTTTTCTAATTTTGTCCCGATTTTTATTCCAGATTATCTGAAGGTGAGTCATGGAGGATTCGAGTGTTGGCAGACTGGTAAGCCAATACCCATGTTATATAAATCGCGTTGGCTTTTGGTTATTACAATGCACTGTTATCTTGGATATCTTCATATATCATTGTACTCGCGTAGATATCGCTCTAAATCTATGCAGTCGTAAGAATCGTAATCATAATGCAAGGCTGTTGAGGCCTGCCGTATGCCCCTGGTGTTGTATGTAGGGCATGTCATATCCAGAATCATCAAACCGTATAAAACAAGCTTCCAATCTTAGTCCTCCACCTCAATAATGTCCATATCCATATCCACCTCCGTTCTCCCCCGCAAAGTAAGCGGCGTAACCTCCCTCCCGCCCCCCTCCCAAGCCATCTTAATAGCCTTGACCGTCTCCCAAACCGCCTCCCTCGCCTCCCTCCGGTCAACGCCCGCATTTAACAGCTCTTCATACGACGTATGCATATGTCTTATATGTGCCTCGACAGCCAGGTCTGCCTTATGTTCATCGGATTTCATCCCCGTCCGCCCAACACGACCAGACCCTTTCAGGAACGCATGATCGAGGATGGTCTCTAGCGATTCTGCCGGCATTAACGGGAATTGCGACTGGAGGAGTTCTCTAGACCGTGAAGAATCCTTTGCATCGCGGAGGTGCACGGCGTTTGCACGCGAGGAGGCGGTTGCAGCGGCGGAGTTCAGGACGGATGAGTAGATATCGGCGGGGACGCGGAGACCAAGGGTTCGTTTTGCGGCGTTATTCTGTTTTCATTACTACTACTGCTCTTCTCTTCTATAATATAGAATGGGGATAAAGGAAGGAACTCACATAAACTAAATAAACCACCTTCCCCGCCTCCCTCGTCTTACTCCGACAATGCCTCGTGACGTAGACATCGCCCTTGGGCACGAACACATACCCCGACGGCAACGGTTCCCTCTCAAAACAATTCTGCTCAAACGGCTCATACGAAACCGGGAGAACGCCACGCTTGTATTTGGAGTATTTCTTCGCTTGCCGATTCTGACTCTTGGATTGGCCTGCTGGGCTGATTCCTAGTGCTTTGATGAGGTTGTTCTTGCGTGCTTGGGCAAGGATGGAGGTGGGGGATCGAGGAGTCTTGCTGATTTTGCGGGCGTTGATGTGTTTCTGTTTCCGGGGGGTTCGGGGGGAGGATCTCTTTCTTGAGGGGGCCATTTTTATAGCTTCGTATGGAGAGAATAAAGATTAGATGAAAGAAAGAGAGGAGGCGTTAGTATACCCCGGATTATGCACACCTTGGAGACGAGTGAATCATTGAGGTGAGGGGATGGATGGAATGCTGCAGGAGCTGTTGCCAACTGATGCCGGTCATGATTTGTCGAGTCTCTTGGTTATTTGTAGTTGCCCAAGGCCATTATAGAGGCGATCTCTGTTTCATTTGATTTGATATCCCTGTATTTCTTTCTAGAATGTTGCTTTGCAACGGTTTCTGGTTTGATTACGGCTTGTAAGTTTGGTATGCGCTAGTACGATGATTACAGGATTAGGCACATGTCAGGCACCGAGTCAAGGCAGTCAGGCAGCAATAGGGTTCAGCTAACTAGTTAACTACCAATTGATTAATCTCTCCCCTTTTTGTCAACTCATCACAATCTCAGATTGCCGGATCTCCTCCAGTAGGAGAAATCCTCCCTTAAACGTAGCACCATCAGGGCCACGCACGTCTTCTGACCTCACCACCTGCCCCTCAAAATTCTGAAAGAGCACAACGCGAACATGAGAGTCATCTGGTTTTCCCAGGCACAAAACGCTCCCAGATGCATCTGGTGCATTATCGCCACCAACCGTCCTCCAAAGTAGTGCGGTACTGTAGGTTGGGTATCTGTAATCCCATGTATACTGCGTTCCGTCAGCTATCGCTTTGCAGGAACGGACATTCCCGGTCGAGATATTGTTCCGATAGACAAAAATCGAATCACCATGCAGAACCTCTTCATACGGGCGCCGTCCTGCTATACGTGGCGAGCCTGCGGGACTTATCAAGTGCGGGAGGCTCTCATCCATGATTAGTGAGAGGTCGTGCTGAACCCATGGGGATACGCTAACAATTCATCACAGGGACATCTGTCATATGATGCGGTAGTATTTGAATCTCCCTTCCTCCCGCATGAATATGACGAACTCTTTCAGAATCATCCGCTTCAACTAGCCAAAGTGGGCTCCCGACCGGTCCACCTTCGACGACAGCAACGTACGTACAATGTCGTAGTGACGGATGTAAAGAACGAATAAGGTGCTCGTCGTCTTCTGTTTCTATACGGGATAGGAACTCAACCCTCGCTCTTGTAGGTGGATCCGCCGAAAATTCTCGACCTATACATCACCTAATGTCAGCCGGTCTCACAGTCAGTACATCATATGAAGGGGTATTTCTCACGTTCAACGATCCTGTAGTTTGGACGTTCGATAACACGGTCCATGTCGGTGGAGACCTGGTAAGAAACATGTCAATCAGCAGTCCTTCAGATAGCCAACTGGCTTCTACGACTCGTACGTACCACAGTTTTGGATTTGGAGATACAGCTGATACTCTCTGATCGAAAGAAAAAGAGCTCTTGCGAGCGATTGCTGCTTGGCTCCCAGGACGCTGTGTTGACGGTCCTTTGTCGCTTCGCTAGTAACACTGAGAAAAAACGATACTGAACGATTTCTCGATGCTAAGCAAGTCGTGCTGATGAGAAAAGCAGAAATTAAGCAGATACTGGGTCAATGGGGGATGAAAGGATGAAGACAGAATGCTAGATAGATGGATGATCTCGAGGGAAGTAGTAACTAACTAGTTAATAACTAAGGGCACGGGTGCCTTGCTGACTAAGACCCATCCACTGTCATTGATACTTCATCATCAGAAGAAAACAATCAGAAGTGATTAAAATGATGAGGAGTATGAGATGATAATGGTCAACAAATAAGTGAATGTTGCTTATGCCACAGAGGGTGCATAGAGCACAAAGCCCAAGAGCCTTACACTTTTTGCATCAAACGTCAACTTTTGCCTACTGAAGCATCTCAAATCTGAGAGAAAAGAGGTGCTTATTATATTATACTAACCCTTTAAATATAGTACGAAATAGACCTGGTAGAACCTAGGCTCATGAGTCAAGCACCTAACACACCTGACAAGAAACATACGATTGACCCAAACAGACGCAATCAACTATTTGCAAACCGTCGCATTTCCTGCATGTATGCAACGACGAGAATTGTCAACTACATAACTAAATTGTTTCTGTTCCCATGGCTCGACAGCATCATTCCCAAGTTCCACCTACTTTCCAGGACAACATTATTGCTTTCTTCCCAAGATGGACACAATGGTGGCATCAGGTACTGCATCAACCTTGTCTATTAATTGTGATGCCATTTGCTGGGCCGATTCTGTATCAGTGGCTCTCCCACTGCGCATTAATACCACAGGAACCAGGAAATGCATCGATTCCTTGAACCAATGCAGCATGTTTTGGGCTAGCCCTGGCTTGGCCCCAACACTGTATTGCTGTCTGGAGACACCCTGGAGTCCACGCTTGGCACATGCTTCTTGTACCACTTCGGTCAGTCGCAGGCTATATCCGACCTGTTTTGCGAAGTCGATAATGATGCCATCAAAGCTGGAAAACGAATTTAAGTCAATATCGTCCCACTGGAGATATCCGCCTGGTCCTGTTCATAGATTCAGGTTAGTCTCAGTCTCAGTCTTAGCAGAAAAGTAAGGCAGCCAGTGTGAAGCTAAAGGAAACTCTCTCCTAGACTATATGACTGTGGCACATACTCAGCAGACCAATTAGGTTGGTAACAATCGTTACAATATCTTCTTCCCGAATCGCCATCGCGAGGAGTCGAACGTGCACCAAATCGTAGCGGCCAAGGTGCTCCTCCGGGAAGGGTTTTGTCACATCGTGAGTTGAGTACTTAATACGACCGTGATCCGTAGGGAACATGGCTGCAGATAGGTCAAAGCCGTGAAACGAGCGCGGCTGGCTGGTCGGTATGTCTCCTAGTAAAGCAGCGACCTGTTCCAACCATATTCTAGAGCCAGAAAAAAAAAAAAAAGATCAGCATTGCTTAGGATAGGTTGGTGTATCAGGACTGAAAGCAGTACCCTGTCCCTGTGGCGACGTCTGCTACATTAAACAAGTCCTTCCTGTTAATCGAGGGGTGGAGAAGTTGGTCGTCGGTGATCTGGAGGAGGACACCGTGCTGTGTGTTCAGACTGAAGGAATAGCACTGTCAGAAATACCAATCTCATAATTCACCAGGCGGCCAAATGGAACGTACCGGGTCTTCTCGGCCTCGTTGCGATTGCTCATGATATAAATCTCTTCCGTTTCAGCCATCCTAGCAAACTTTTTGGAAGACGGTCAAAGTTGCATTCAGAGAAGAATTCGATAATGGGCAGTTGCAAGTATTGCACTGAGGCAGAAATACCAATCAAAGTTGAATGTCAGGAAGCGTCGGATTCGGATTGCTCACAAGTTTATATAGGTAGATCCCCAGTTGAGGAGTAGATGATCTTCAATGTTTAAACTTCTGCTTTCTCCGCTATATGTTTCCTTTTCCAGCGTTGGCATGGAGTGTATAGAGTACTCCGAGTACATGTGCATCGGATCGATTGGATGCCAAAAGTAAATGATAATTACACCCACTGATCAGCCATACAACAATGATTCAGTGAGCCCACTATTCTTAACTTCATACATGATTATTGGCTGCGGTATGTGCTTATTATGTGGACCGTTGAATCATTGCCTCCCTTAGCATGTACTAGTTCACTATTTCATGTACTCTGTACATATTAGTGCATTATTACTTGTATTTGTGAATTATTATGCCCACTCTGAGAAACGGTTTATACAGAGTATATACTTATTATACTGAAGCCGTCAGCTAATGTTATCTCCTTTCCCTTTCCTTCTTTTTATACATCCTCGTCCTAATAAACTCCTTTTTTGACAATGAAAGACCCCGAGCATCAGGAGACAGAAAAATCCGCACCACTAAGTCTCGATCGACTCGTCACATCCAATCGGGCAACTCTTCCCAGCAACAGACCTTACGTCGTGCGGTGTAGATACTGACCAGTTTTATGAGTATTCCGGCGCCGGCATTCATCATACAGGGCCTAAGCGTCCGCGAGATATATATGGCATACTCACCAGATTTGAACCCAATCAAAGAATTCTTTGCCGAACTCATACAGAAGAGGAGGATTGTTGAGCGTCGACTAGGAATGCTGCAGTGCCGTGGGAGCTGGGAGCTGGGACCTGTAACGACTACGCTGGTATCGGGGTGTGGAGGGGATGAGGGGACCATGCTTTGATCCATGGGGAATGGAAGGGTACTCGCATTTATGGGGGGTCTATTTAGCATCACCTGGGATTTTCTGGTTTCTAAACAGATAGAATAACCATCGGAAACAGGAATAAACAGTGTCAGCAGGTGGAATTCGTCAACACCCAAAATATCTCAGGCTTCAGAGAAGCTCGCGAGTGTTCTGAGCTCCGCAAACTAATGGGCAAGGCTTTATGCATAAAAGACCCAGAGGATAATATCCGTGTGCCACACCCTAGTCCTACAGCCGTGCAAGTAGGACTGCCATGAAAGTAACCACGCCTGCACCGAGCAGACTAGGTCTGGTTTGGAACGCCGCACCCTCTTCACCACCTTCATAGTCCTCTGCAGGCCTGTCCTTGACGATCTTAAGACATGTCATCTGGGAAGTGGCCTCGTCCACCAGATTGTTGTCTCCATTTCCGGAGAATACGGTCAGCACGGGTGTGATTTTGTAGACCTGCTGCGTGTATGCGGCTGCTGTACCGTTTCCCTGTTGATTGAGAAGTCAGTAATCATCCTTGGGAAGGAATAAGGGAAGATGATGTACGTAAGCAGTATTCTCTGCAATCTCCGACAAATTATCCGACTTGGACACAATAGGCCAGCAGTCTGATGAGGAGTTCTGCGAGCCGCTAATCGTCGACAAGCTCGCGAGCGAAGTAACGGTCAAGTTGCCCAACAAACTACTGCCAATCCAGCTAGCGCTGCATTCATCGAACGAACTGCTGTTCAACTCATCCTCCAACGGCGCACAACCATCACCATCCGCATCGTCGATAATGCCGCGCGCTCGTTCCGTAAGCCTGTCAATACACGCTTGATCAATTACCTCCGAGCACGTTCCGCTAGCAGCAGCGGTATTGGTAACATTCTGAGCCTCTCCGTTGTCGTCTCTCGGGCCCGCTAGCTCTGTCGGGTACTGAAATATCTTGGCGGGTGGGTCGTTGAAGAAGACAGCGCAACCGGCCAGGTCGTTCACCTCTAGGTCCGACGGGGTGCCGAGGTAGTAGATTGATTTGAATTCATGGGCGTTCTCCTCTCCCTCTCCAACGGTGAGATTGGCGGCCTTGACTAGGGACAGGCCTTCGAGCGACGATGGGACGTCTGGAATAGGAGCAGTGCCGATACCTAAGAAGGTGTCTTCAGCAACTGTGCAACGGTCTTCGGTGCCCTCGATGGGGCATGAGACTGCCTTGCAACCGACGAGGTCGGAATCCTGGGCAAAAGTAGAGGAAAGGAGCAAAGAGAGAAGGGTAAGGGTGCGGTATGCCATGATGCAGAGTTGTTCTATTGAGCTAGATTGAATGGGAAAGGAATGGAGAAGTTTTTGAGGTCAGCTTACTTTCAATACATGCCCTAATGATAGAGCCTCTTCCATTGTTTGTAGCGGGAATCCTTGGCATCGGGCAGATGCAGAGTTTAGCCTTGGCAATCGGAACCCCGGATCGGATAGAACCGCGTACCCTATGATGAATAGCCGATAGTATTGGCAGTCGACATGACCAATAACCCACTGCTAGTTAGCCTCTAGCGGTGAGTGGCTCTTTATCTGGCATTCCGAGGAACAAAGACGTCATATTCCTGTACAACTATACGAAGTACACCAGTAAGACAAAGGACAAAGGCAACCTGATTAGAGCCAGGTCGGTGATAACAGGGTCATCCTCGCTTGGGCCTGCCAGTGGTAGGTAAGCCCGATACGAATTCTGACCGCAGTACTTGTACTTCAGCCTGAGGGAATCCTAGTACTAACATATATAGTCTGCCAAAGTATCGCTGGGCACTGCATGTTTCATCCTTCAGTGGAGAAATTCAAGACTACAATCATGACACATCGATAATCTAGATGTAGGTCTCAAACCCTATTCTCTGCTATTGCCTAGATGGTAGTGAGAGATCGGGGACTCCCGAATTGATCAAACTTGGAAATTGGTATCTATCAAAACTACGTGTTAAAGCCTAGCAGAGAGAACATCTCCAGGCCCGGGCGGTACTACGGATGCTAGTCCAATGGCTGTTTCTAGTGCTGCTCAGTTTCCTGTTAGTTCTTATACGCGGGTTAGGGACTGGCGAGGTAATAACACTGCGCATTAGTCTGGTCATGTGTGTACATAGTGCAGTTTATTAGCCCCAGGCTTGTATATATGTAGGTTTCCTTTCTGGAAACCATGCATGATAGAACTATAAAAATACAGCGACAATGAAGCAGCTATTAATTGAGATGTTTTACGTCTGACAATATCTCCCATTTAATGAAGAGAATGGTGAAGGAACTGAGTTATCGGATGAAAGGCATCATTATGCGTCCGACGACAACAATCTATAATACAAGTAAAGCAACACCCAAAAGTCGCTATAAATAAAGCAAAACTACAAGTCGAAAGAAAACCAAAGGAAGAAAGGTATCTCAAATCAAATCCCCGACTCATACGGCCCATTCCTCCCCGTATACTGCACCCCAAACGAATTAACCTTCCCATACTCATCCCAAGCCTTGCAGGTCTCCTCCAGAACACCTCGGTCCAAGATCCGTTCAATCTCATTTGGTCGTTCGACAACCTGCTGCGCAAACCCTTGGGACTGGTGAAACCCGATGTGGCAATGCAGCAGCCAGACACCTGGGTTATTTGCCACAAAGCCCATTACTAGATACCCGCCTCTACCTTCCTCTGAAGGTAGCGTGGCTGTATCCCGGCGGGGTGGGTTGTTTGTATTTAGGGTTACATTCGTGGGTGAGTATGTCCCGAGGCCTTGGGCTAGAATTAGGAAGTCGTGACCTGTATTACGTTAGTTAGGGTTGCGGTTTACTGGAAAAGAGAAGGGTACGTACCATGAAGATGAATCGGGTGCGGTGCCCTGAAAAATGTCTGGACGACCAAGATCACGAATTGATCTGGTGTATTGGCTTGCACGGCTGTTTTATCGGTCATCAAACCGGTCTTGCTCTCGCCCGGTACAAATTGCTGCAGCGTTGGGTTGGACCAGGAGTTGTTGAAATAATCTCCTCCCAGTGTCCAGAGGTACATTGGGACATCCCCGACTTTGTTGTAGCTAACCTCTGAGTGAACGGTCTTGGCAGTGCTACTGATTTGTGCATCGAGACCAACCCAGGGAACCAGCTGCGAAGCTGGGAAATCCTCGCATCTTGAGTCGAGGTTGTCAAATGGGATTGACGTTGGATCGGTGTTATTATTCGCTCCCTGGTACTGCAGGATGCCCCTGATGTTATCACCTGCCGTGTTGTTGCTGCATATTGATTGTGGCACCGCGCGCATCCAGTAGTTATCAGCGAGTTGGTCCGCCGTGACTATGATATCGTAGCGCTGGCCCATATCAATAGGCACGGCGTTGGCTTCGAACGGGACGATGGGGACAAAGTCACTAGCGATGACTGTGACATTGTGCTGGTCGATGGAGAACCGGAATTGTGTGTGCACTGCGGCGTTGATCAAGCGGATTCGATATCTCTTCCCCGGAGCGAAAGTCGTCTTGTACCGCTCCCCAACCGTAGTGCCATTCTCTACCCACACATTCTTCCCGTTTAGCAGACCGCCCTGCATCTGGGCAGGCAGGAACAGCTCCAGCTGAGTTTGGTACATTTCATCGACGGTCTGATGGGACCAGTCGCTTAGGATTAGCGGACCCAAGTCTTCATCATACTCCGCTGGGGTCGGGCCATGAATGACGATTGCTCCGAACACTCCTTCCCATGCTTGCAGGGAGAAGTGCGAATGGTACCAGCTGGTACCGTATTGCGTCGCCTTCCAGACATAGGTGTAACTTTCACCGGGGGCGACGGGGCACTGCGTCAGCGACGGGACGCCATCCATCTGGTTAGTGAAAAACTGCCGTATGCCATGGAAATGTATTCCTGTGCCGTTGTCTTGCATGCGGTTTGTGACATGGACTTTGACGGTGTCGCCCCAGTTGGCTTCGATTGTTGGACCGGGGAATTGGCCATTAACCAGGAGCACGGGTCGTTCGATTCCATCTGGGGCAGCGGTTGTGTTGATGATGTCAAAATGGTACTCTCTCAAGATGCCAGTGTTTGGGGAGGAATCGTAGTAATTAGTGTTGATGTCGTACTTTTCGAATTGCGTTTGGTTGATTGGTTGCTCGGAGCTTCGGCTCCATAGAGAAGGGTCGTGTCCAATGGCACGACCTAAAACAATTGGAGCCAAGAGCCCCAGAATAAGAAACTTCATAATGATCCACCGTAGCATTGTGAGATCCATAGTACTTGATACAACTCCACTGGCATGTCGACGGGCTCTTCTTATATAGGCCTTTTCTGACGGCAGCTCCGCGACCACTTGACTACAACACTGAGCCTCAAGCTGTTTGTGACTCTGTCATCGCACCGTGCTGGGTTCATTACTGTTCTTGGTATTGCTATGTTTACCCTCTTTTCACCGACAAAACCTCGATTTACATCTCACGTGCACACTAAACACGAAGCGGCTTAGCGAACCAACAAGGAAATAAATCGGTATATCTTTCTAAGTTTAGTAACGATCCTACCCTGCAAATGCACCATCCTTGCATAAGCATTGTGCTAGATCCCATGGGAATACAGGTCGTGTGAGTCAACAAGGACAGAGTATTCGGGCCTAAAACGAGGAACAGCCCCTGTCGAAAGGGACCGGAGATGGTCATAGGTCAATGGGCGGAATTACCTTTTAGGCTGATTCGTTGTAGATCCGTATTGGCTAAGCTTTCGTATATCTTTGCTGTTTTGCTCGTATCTGCATAAACCCATGGCTGAGCTGTCAGCCCTAAACGAACCACTGGAAGTGATTGCTGACTCATCTCCGTTCTGGCTTGAATTGCAATTATTGTCGATTAGTTTTTCTTTACTTGGTAGCTATGCTGTAAGAGTATCTGCAAATTCGTAATTGATTGGTTGTTACTAATTATGGGATTTGCTGTGCATGGACATGCATATAATAATGCAATATTGTATTCAACCTTGGCCCCTTTGCCAACGCCACCTTCGCCTCCTTCGTGATCCTTTTACCAAGGCTTTTAGGGTGAAATTTCGAGGCCAGCCACGATGTCCGCTTTGTCCGCTTATCCCTGTCAAAGATGTCAAAGAACACGCATCTCATGACCTAACGACGGACCCATCGGACTCGTTAACAACACGCTAATTTAACATAGCAATCACGATGTATCGAGAGAAACCTGGCCTAATTACAGGGATGATCCGGGGGAAGACACGTGGAGATCTGACAAGCTTCTAAATTTGTTTAGTCTGTCAGATAAGGCACCAGTCCAGGAGACAGGGATACCGTCAGTAGCAATCGGGCTTCCCGAGGCGCATGATTCTCTGAATAGTGCTAGTCATTTGTTTCATGTTGAAGTGCATGAGGGTCCAGCTGCGCTATAATCAGCTTTAACATGGTTTAAATCCCTACAATGATATGTTATATTGACAGGGATCCGGGTTCTGTCATTGGTTGGATCTTTCATCATAGACTGAGAATGGTATTGCCGATGACATGCCGATTGTGATCTTCAGTACATGAGCATGCATATGCAGCCCTACTCTAGGCTATTTCATATCCAATGTTACGTAGTCTCCCCTCTGCAGTGTCACCCTATTCAGGTCATTAGAGTGCAGTATTGCGTAGCGAATCTATAACCAGTGACCGAGGCCATGGCTATGGTGCCCGCTTACCCCGATATCCTAGTCAGCAAGGAATCCAGGGTCACATGATTAAGATTGAGGCCCAACTAGCTCGTTTTCAAATTTAGCTACCTATTTCGGTATAGTTGACCCTGCCAAGTGACCGGAATAGGTATCCATTGTTATTCACTGGAGATATTGTTCATTTCGCATGATCTTCCCGAAATGAAAAGTCATCCGTTTTGTGGCGTAGGAGAGCTCATCTGCGTCTAGAATCAGCTTATACATGAGGTACGTATCATTCCAACATGGCAGCCTATAGACCATTTCGGGTAATCGGATCCGACTGTCCGGACGGAGATAGTCATTTTGCTAATGTATTTCGAAATGATGCTGGTCATGTATATGTTGGAAAGAGCATGATGTGGTATTTGGAATCTCGGACAAAGAAATACTTTTGCTCAGCCGGCGATGTTGAATCGGGCCGGGTGTAAGAATAGAGATATCAAAATTGTGTCACAAGATCGATATAGTGCCTTTTAAGCATTTCACAAACCAAGGACCCCTCTGCAACTCCCCCACGCATATAGATCTCAGATATCCAAGTCAATAAGCAATTATTCAGGGTCTCTGGTAGATCCGATCCCTACTTCGGGACCGCAGGATTCACGGGCCCG